TCACAAGGACATCTGGGACTCAATGGTGGAAAAATAGAGCCCAGATTTTGGTAGCAGGAGCTGCAAAAAAAATTGGGGGTCAGTTTTGATATCCAAAATGAAAACATTTTTGAAAGAAAAAGGAAAGGGGGAAGAAAAAAAGAGAAAGTAAAAATTGGGGGAAAACTCCAGCTTTTGGGAAGAGGGACTGTGAAGACCACCCGGTGCCCCCAGGATGAAGGCTGCAGCCTTCAAGGCAGGTGAGTTCTGCTCTCCCATCCACGCCAGCAAGCTCTAGGGTGTTCTAGCTCACATTCAAATAGAAACAAACAACATCACGCCATCTCCCCATCTGCTGATGCCCTCCTGTGGCCTTTCCCAAATGTATTATATCACAGCCTCCTCCTCCTGCTGCAGGGAAGAGTTTATCAGGGGGCCTGGCATGTAGGACATGCTCAATAAATGATAACAACTTGTAGAGAGAGTTGGTGTTATATACCATGGGAGGACCCAAAGGACCGATTCATGTCAAATGCTTAGAACAGTTCCTACTTCTTAGTAAAGACCCAACAATGCTGTTATTGCTGTTGCTATTGTTGTTCTTATCGGGTTTTTAAAGAGGATACATCCTTGTAACGTCCAGGATAAGTTTGGTAACTACAATAGTGAAAGCTTTAGAGCTGCAATGCCGAACACAGTAGCTGGTAGCCACATATATACTACTAAAATTTAAGTTTATTAAAATGAAGTATGTTTACGATTTCGGTTTCTCAAAGACACACTAGACACATATCTGGTGCTCAGTAGCCACCTACAGAAAGTGGCGACCACACTGGACAGCGCAGAGAAGAGAACATTTCCATCACTGCAGAAAGCCTCACACTGCTTTAGAGGAGCCCAGACACTGCTCTAAGAACTTCCTGGGAATTAACTCACATAACGGCCCTATAGGGCACGGCTGTTACCGGCCAGGTCCGTGCCCATTCCTCCCTCACGCAGTGAGCCACTGGGACACTTTTGCAAAATAGAAAAGATTTAATCCCAAGGCCACCAAGTGAGGAGGCGAGCAGAACAGCCCTCAAATTTGCCTCCCTGAAGATAAGGCTGAGGAATGTTTACAGGTTAGGCGTAAGGCTAGGGAAAGGTGATTGGCAGTGGGGTAAAATGCAAGTAACAAGTTTATTCTGCACAAGTTATCGGGGTTCATGGCATTTCACAGGACACACGCACAGAATGGCGGCGCTAGCAATGATCCGAGGGTGGAGTTTGGGCCCTGGGACGCCAAAAGGGGCTCTTGCACAGGCCCAGTCGCAACTTGATGGTCTCAACTAGTTTCAACTGGACAGGAGTTGGCCCAACTTCCAGAAAAACAACCCAAGCAACCGTCATCAAGATGACTTACGAGTGTTATCTACAAAGCAGTCACCGAAGGTTAGGTTTCAGCAGAGGCGTGGCCTTTAGGTTCATGGAAAAAGGAAAAAAAATAACAAAAAGCAAGCGACCAAAAGCAAGCAAGCAGGGCAGGCAGACCTGATTAAATTAACCACTCGGTTTCACATTTTCAAAACTGAGGCTCAAAAAACTATGACACTGGTCCAAAGACAGGTGGCTAGTTTAACCTCAGAGCTGGGCCCCCTCCCCTGTCTCCCCTTCCATCCCCATTTTTTCTTTTCCTCATGGTTTTCCCTCTCTTCTCCTTTCCCTCTGCCTCTCCCTCTCCTCCCCTTCTTGCCCCCTTCCTCTTCCTTCTACCCCTGCTTGCTTCCCCTCCTTCCCCCTTCCCCCCTGCTCACCGCTCCCCTCACTCCCTCGACTCAGTTTCCCCACCTCTCTCCTCCAGCTCCTCTGCCTCGCCCCTGCCCTACCTCTCCTCCCCTCCCGGTCCTCTTCCAAGCTCCTCCTCTCCGCTCCCCCTCCTTTCCCAAGAACCCCCCCCCTTTCAAGCCCCCTCCCCTTCTGTCCCAAGTCCCTCCCTCTCCTCCTGCTCCTTCCCCTCCCCATCCTCTCCCCCGCAACCCGGCGCCGCAGAGGCGTCTGGGAGGACGGAGTGGGCGGGGCCTCACGCGGTGGCGCTGAAAGGGGAGGGGCGCGCTTGGCGCAGGCGCAATGCACCGCCTCCGCTCTGGAGCCGCGGCTGAGTCAGCGCCGGGAGGGCTGCCCCCGAACCGAGTGGTCTGGGCCCCTCCGTGCCTCTGTTTCCCCGCGGGGAAGCGGATGGTACGGGTGATGGAGAGGAGGAGGCACAGGGCAGAACAGCTTAGGAGAGCCTAAAAGGCTGCAGGGCGCCACGTGCTGTTTGACTGGAAGACCCACGTCCCGTGCGTGGCCCTTCCTGGCTACGAGACCTGGTTCCACGTGCCTGTCGGGTGGAGGCGAAGACTGTTTCTGCTTCTTCCCGCCGGCATGGCAGACCGTATTTCCCTGGCCCAACCCAGGTCTGAGTGGAGCCGTGGCCTGTGCAGCTGCCAGCGGAAGGAGAGCAGAGTGACACGGGCCACTTCTGATCTGGGTCCAAAGACACTGCACTCGTCTCCTCAGAGGGGTCTTCCCCTCTCCTGCTGGCTGGAACACGGATGTGGCGGGAACTCAGCTCCAACCAGAATCCGTATCAGCATTGTCCCTGGGGGACGGCCACGCAGCAGGATGGGAGGGACCTGTGTCCTAAATGACCCTGTGCTTGGAGAGCAGAGCTTCCCACTGCCCTGTACCGTTCACGCTGGCTCCGGGATGAATGAGAGAGAGAGAGAGATGAAAAGAGAGTTTGTTCTTTAAGCCTCTGTTTTTGTGTCCACTTGTTGCAGTAGCTTTCCCTTCATCCGACTAACCCATCAACCAAACTCTGGGGGGGGGGTCCCACTATTTTCCCATTTTCAAGACGAGGAAACTGCCGCACAGATGGGTTTAATAAAACATGCTTGTGTTACATAGCTGCGCTCAGAATCCTTTTCGCTCACCTTCTATCCAACCACACTTCACATTTGCCATTGCTTGAGCCATTGTAGACTTCATTCCCCCCTGCAGAGAGAGCTCAGACACACAGATAGGTCAGCTATGCACAGACAAGCAGAGGGGAGGCTGAACTCCTTGGCTGCTCTGGGCACCTGCTGGCCCAACCCTGGAAAGCCACTGCCCTCCTCCAACCTCACCAGGGACCGAGGACTCAAGCCGCCCTGCCTGCCTCTTGGTTAAGGAAGCACAGAGGGCAGTGAGACTGAGGTCTCATCTTGTGGCAATAAGAGGACGCCCCACAGAAAGCATTGCATGCAAGATCTCATGACAAAATAGGCATAATGAGCAACCACTGGACTGTAACCCACGATGGGGTGGACTTCAGGGGTGCCCTCCCTGTATCAACCCACCTCTCCCCTACTGCGAATGTTGGTGCAGCTGACCCCACACCCACATCAAGGCAGACGATGGTTTCAGGCCAATCCGGGCAATCAATCCCATTCCCTTACCATCGCTATCATTTCAGGGATGAGAACAAGGCCCAGATCTAAGCCATCTCTCTGGTCACAGCAAGCAGTTCATGGGTGAGTCCAACAGAATGAAACTTAGGGCTTTTTTTCCCCCAAGGACTACAAGAAGTTGTCTCCCTCCATCTGGTTGACTGAGAAAATATGTTGTCAAGTAGCTGCTGGAAACCGCCTTCATCCCACGGGGGAAGCCAGCCTGAGGATGATGCCAGCACCTAAAGGGACAGCCAGAGAATCACAGAGCATCAGAGCTGCAGCTCCAGTGACGAGTGCCTGGGTCAAACCCACCCTGATGCCCACTCTACTGCTAGACATTTGAAGAACAGTCTGCCTTGTTTATGTATTCTAGAGTGATTGTTTTTCCTACTTGCAAAGTGTGCTTACTAATATAATTTTTAAAACTGAATTATATGTACCTCAGTGTCACGAAGTGTGAAACAAATGGAAATGCCAGGATGTCAGCAACCAGTAGTATCAAATGTCAAAATTAAAAAGACAGCCCAGAAAAAGTAGACTTTGGGTGAAATTCCGTGTGTAAACAAAGCTTCATGTCAGCCTTGGGAAACTCACTTGAGATTACTGGTATGTTCTGAATGTTGGTGTCCCTCCCAAATTCACATGTTTAGCAACTTAGTTCCAATGTAACAGTACAGAGAGGTGGGCGGGACCTTCAGGAGGTGACTGGTGCCCTTATAGAAGAGATCTGAGGGCGCCTGCCTGCCCGCCTTCTCCGCCTGAGGACACACATAAAAGGCACCATCTACCATGTTTCCCTGAAAATAAGACAGGGTCGTATGCTCATTTTTCAAGAAGACACTCTAGGACTTATTTTCAGCGAATGTGTTATTTTTTTAAGTACAGTACAACAATCTACATTTATTCAAATATAGTGAAGTCATTTTCTTCTGGAACATCATCATAACTCTCCAAACCCCAAATTCCATCCTGAATTTCTTGCAACTTTATTTCCTTTAGAACCATTGGCCCCGATTTCTCATTCAAGCAATAGAGCTCTCATGGGGCAGATGAGAAGGGCTGCTCGTCTTCTTTACTGCTCCACGACGAAATGCATGGATATTTGTGCAGATATGCCGCATAGCCACGCCCATCACTAGGTCTTATTTTCAGGGTAGGGCTCATATTGCGCAAATGCTTAGAAATCCTGCTAGGGCTTATATTATGGGTAGGCCTTATTTTCGGGAAACATGGTATGAAGAATGCTGCCCTCATCAGACACCAAATTTTCAGAGCTTTGATCTTGAACTTCCCAGCCTCCAGAACTGTGAGCAAAAATTTCTATTGTTTGTAAATTACCCAGTCTAAGGTCTTTTGTCATAGCAGCAGGAATAGACTAAGACAGTTACCTTCACATTTAACAGCAAAAATAACTATACAAGGGAAGACTGTATATTTATTGAACCCAGTATTTAAACCCCAGTATCAAACCTGTTAGTGTTTGTTTTCCTTCCTGCTCTCACCACAATAGACTGGACAACCAGTATCTGTATCTGTCACACCCAAAAGACTGTTTAAAATGACATGGTGTCCCTTAATTAAAAGTTTTATTTTAAAAAATGTAACAGACTGCTCTAAGAACCTTTGGCATTTGAAGCAGTAGTTATTGTTATTTTCTAACTCTGAAAAAAAAATTCCCCCTCACAAACAACTTGCAAACTTCTACCACTTACTAGCCTAGTGGCTTCCAGCACATACTGTAGGGAGACTGGGGCCGGAGAGAAAGCCCCACGCCCTTACCCACCCAGGAAAATCACAGATGGTGACAAACTACACCTGGGCTCCAAGGTACTCCACAAAGGGAGAAACGTCCCAATGCCCATCTGAGTCCACCTCCCCACCCCTCTGCAACCTACACTCCACTACTGAGGAAATGAGGCCCAGGGGCATGCCCCACAGGCCCAAGCTCTTAGGACAATTCACTCAGACAGCGGGGTCTGAGCCCTGATGGCCCATGGCTGAGCTCCCCGTGCCGGTAACCCGGGCTCAGCGGACAGAGCCTTCCAACGTTCCCAAAGAGGGGAGACAGAGGGGCTTGCTCTGACGCTCGGTGCGTGCGGAGGGGCACTTGTGGAGCAGAAGCCGCCTGCGCCCCGCAGGGAGAACGCGCCCCCAACACGGGCTGGACCCCGCGGAGGCGCTCAGGTGTGGATCCTCAGGTGCCGCGTCAGGTTGGTGTTCCGGCTGAAGGTCTTCCCGCACTCGCCGCACCTGTACGGCTTCTCGCCGGTGTGGATGCGCTGGTGGACCGTCAGCGAGGAGTTCTTGATGAAGGACTTCCCGCACTGGCCGCACCTGTAGGGCTTCTCCCCCGTGTGGATGCGCTGGTGCTCGATGAGGTAGGCGCTCTGGCTGAAGGCCTTGCCGCACTCGCCGCACTTGTACGGCTTCTCGCCGGTGTGCACGATCTGGTGCACGATGAGGGACGAGCGCCCCGTGAAGTGCTTCTTGCAGATGTAGCACTCGTAGGGCTTCTCCCCGGTGTGGATGCGCTGGTGCTGCGTGAGGGAGGAGTTCTTGCTGAAGGCCTTGCCGCACTCGTTGCACTCGAAGGGCTTCACCCCGATGTGGAAGCGCTGGTGCTGGATGAGGTAGGAGCTCTGGCTGAAGGCCTTGCCGCACGCGTTGCACACGTAGGGCTTCTCGCCCGTGTGGTTCCGCTGGTGCAGGGTGAGGGAGGAGCTCTTGTTGAAGGCCTTGCCGCAGTCCTTGCAGGCGTACGGCTTCTCGCCCGTGTGCGTGCGCTGGTGCTCGGTCAGGTGCATGTTCTGGCTGAAGGCCCGCCCGCACTCGGGGCACACGTACGGCTTCTCGCCCGTGTGCGTGCGCTGGTGCACGATCAGGTGCATGTTCTGGCTGAAGGCCTTGCCGCAGTCCCCGCACGCGTAGGGCTTCTCCCCGGTGTGGATGCGCTCGTGCTGGGTGAGGGACGAGGTCTTCCGGAAGGCCTTCCCGCACACGTCGCACACGTAGGGCTTCTCGCCGGTGTGCGTGCGCTGGTGCACGGTGAGGTTCATGCGCTGGCTGAAGGCCTTACCGCAGTCCCCGCACGCGTAGGGCTTCTCCCCGGTGTGCACCCGCCGGTGGATGGTGAGGGACGAGCGCTCGATGAAGTGCTTCCCGCAGGTGTCGCACTCGAAAGGCTTCTCTCCTGTGTGGATCCTTTGGTGTTTCATCAGGGAAGAGCTTCGGCTGAAGGCCTTGCCACACTCGCTGCAGTCGAAGGGCTTCTTCTCCACGGAGGGCACCGGCGGCTGGCCGGGCTCTGAGGTGCTGGAGTTCTTCCCAGGCCTCGCGAGCGGACAGCCCCCCTTTTCTGGGGGCTCGTCCAGCCTCGGCGGGACCAGGGTAGGGCTTTGGTCAGCAAATCCCTCCCGTTCTCCGCATTCGGGGCCTGGCTCGCCACGGAGTTTGCTCTCCTGGGCAGTTCCCAGCCCCTCCCGCCCTGTCCGGGCACCCCCATAGCCCTCTGGCCAGCCGCCCAGTCTCCACGCTCCTCCTAAGGCGGGACCCCCAACTGCAGTCCCCGTGGCCACCCTGGTGGATGTTTTGTCTTCCAAAATGTCATCCTTTGGATCCGACTCTTTCATTTCAGGTCTACTCTGCCAGTCTAAAAAAACAAAAAACAAAAATGCAAATATGTGTGATTAACAATGCTAGGAGCAAGGAACTTCCCAAGTGGGAATGGGCAAATGAAACCAAGTCCAGGAGGCGCAAGGCACGGTGGAGCTAGCAAATGGCAGGAGGGTGGCTTAATGAGGCAGCAACAACGCAGGAGGTGAGCAGAGAGCACATGTCCCTTCCAAAGAAGGGTAAAAGGCCAGGTGGGAGCTTGCAATAGACACACTTAAAGAGGAAAGAGGGCTTGGAAGGAGTGAATAGCAGGCTCTGCAAACTTGAGGAGTGATTCCAACAGGCTCCTAACTTGCAAGGCCTTCCTCTCCTCAATTCATCCTGCACGTCCCCAACCAGTCATGCTTCTCAGCACTGGTCTTTATTTAAAATAATAAAATAACAGCTAACACTTACATGGCGAGAGCTGGCTATTCTCTACTCCCTCAACCCACTGTCTAATCTTTGCCCTTCTCTGCCCTGCCCTGTGCCCCAGGAGGAGGACTCTGCCCACTGGCCTCCTCTGTGCATGGCCAAAGGCAGGAAACTGCAGGACACTGGAGGGTGAAACCAGACAGAAGTTGAAGGGCTTCTTCCCCACCTTCCCGCCTCTCTGCTGCGGCCGCGCCTGCAGGTGCTGGAGATGCGCCCCGCCTGCCCCGCAGCCGCCTGCCCCTGCTGTGCCTGGTTGCTCCCCGCCCTCCCGCATCCCCGCGCTTCCCCCAGTCAGGCCTTCCACAGCGCTAAGCATGTTCATGTGTGTGTTGCTTCTCATTTGAGCCCCACGATGATCACATGATTGGGGGTTCTTGTGATTGTTTTTGTCACTCCGCCATTCCCTCTTCACTGCCCAGTTCTTGGGCGGCAGGTGGTCCATGGAGCTTGCATCTAGCTAGACCCTCTTCTCTTTGCGTGTCCATCCCTCCCTGGCTAACCACATCCATGTCCTTGGCTTCAATCACCTTCTGTGTGTAACTTCTTAATTTCTAAATCTCGATTTCCAGCATAGGTGGCTCTTCTGAGTCCAGACTCCACATCCTAGCATTCATTCCCAGCATTTGAAAACTTGTCTACTTGGCTGCTTTCTCATAAAAAATGTGAAGATATGGCCACACGCAGGCTCCTTTCTGTGGGTGACACACACTAGGTGGGGCAGCAGCTGGCCCCCACCCCTATGTAAATGACCCACCTGGCAGCCCCCATGGCCACCTGGGTTTGAGACCCTCCCCTCCACGCCGATGCGCCGGCCACGCCCCGAGAAGGGAGCCTGGGTCTCAGCGCTGGCCCTGCGCTGGTGCTGCTCACACACTCCTGAGCTCTGCACAGGGATATTCACGTGACTCGGCGTCTCTACTGGACATCCCAAACCTAACACATCCCACATGAAACACATTTGTGATTTCAGAGCCTCCACCAAAAACATCTGAAAAGAAGAGAAAGAAAAGCCCGTGAAAGACACTTAGTAAAATAAGTCAGGCATGAAAGGGCAAATACTGCACGGCCCCACTCACAGGAGGTTCCTGGAGGAGTCGATTCACAGAGACAGAGGGACAGTGGGGGTGCCAGGGTGGGGACATCGGGAGTTGAGAAAGATTTATCAGTTCTGGGGATGGATGGCAGTGATGGTCGCACACATGAATGTCCTGAAGGCCACTGAACTGTGCTCCTAAAAATGGTTAACATGGCAAATTCTATGTTCTATTTTATCACAGTTTTAGAAACAAAACTTTAAAAACATTTTTTTAAAAAAGACTTAGCAGCCATCCCTTATTCCCCCCTTCCTCCCACCATCCAGGTCGCCAAGTGCCACTGGATGCACAAAACAGCCTGAACTGGGCCAATCTCTTCGTCACCACTGCCAACGAGCTCCTCAGCCACCGTGGAGGCCACTCGTGCCCCGAATGGGGCAGCAGCTCCTCCCCACCTGCTCTTACCTCCGTGATGCCTTCTGCACTCCTGGGGAGCTGCTGAGGGAACCCCCAGGTTCCCCACCGCATAGCAGAAACATGTGCCACCTGGCGTGCTCGGCAAGGCTGTTACAAAGTAGCCGAGGCAGGTACCAAAATAACTACTGGGCTCTGGGAAAAGTGCCCAGTACTTTCTTGTCTTGAAACAGCCAGTTCAGACCGGTCCTGATGGCTTTAGAGCTGCTTTGGCATATAGTGCCCTTTAGCTGACTGCAATACTATTAATAAAATCCTCAACCAGTAAAAAATTCTAATATTATTAACATAGCATGGGGTGCATGGCAATTATGATGGTGCTACACCTGTGTGATTTGTTTCACTGTGAACAAGCACAGATACAATGCAAAAACACTGCATTACTCACTGGGGAGAGATTTAAAGCAACACCACAGGGCGGGCAGATGCAGGGATTTTACATGCAAGCAGCTCCCGTGGGAGAAATTCCTGTTCCGCCCAGGTACAAGTCCCCTAGTAAGGAACCTCTAAACAACTCATCTGACTTACCAAGCTGGCCTTGTCAGAGTTATTCTTTGGTCTCTTGGTTCCCTCTCAGTTTGGGTGGTGGTTTTTCTATACTGTCCCGGAATTTTCACGAAACAGCAGGGCTGTCTGAGGAGTCAGACCAAGCCCTCCAGTGGCCTCCCCAGGGCCCTGAGAATGAAGCTAGCACCTCCTGTGGCCTCAGGGCCAGGCCTGTCTCTGAGTCACTCCTGCCCTCCTCCCTCGCTCACTTCCCATCAGCCATGCTTGCCCTCTTCTTCCCTTTCTATCCCCTCGTCCATGCAAGTTCTTCCTGCCTCGGCCTCTGTACAGGCATCACTTGGACCTGCCATGGATGGCCTCCATCAGTCCTCCAGGGAGCCCTTCTCCATCCACCCCATGTAAGGAAGCAAGACTCCTCCCCTACTCTTTGCCTGTTTCACTGTGATCACTTACTGGTCTGTGGCAACTTTTCTCCACTTGTCCCTTCATCTGTTTATTACTGGCCTCCAGGAGAAGTCAGGTCTACCATGTGGGGGCTTGGCCTTTGCCCACCCCCAGCTCCTCCAGCCAGGCTTGCCCACAGCAGGCACCAGATAGACACTTGTGGAGCATGTGCCACGCCTGGCATGGTGCTAAGCAATTTGCATGGATCTTCTCATGAAACCCTCAAAATCACACGTGAGTTAGGTACAGTCATGGATGGTTATGACAATCCCTATTTTACAGATGAGGAAACCAAGACTCCAAGAATGAAGCACGGCACACCTGAGGCAGAGCTGGGATTCGACATAGGATCCCAGGCCATGGGGTCTGGGGAGTCACTATATTGCATGTAGAAATACTTAATGCAAGAGAATGATGGTGACTTAGTGACCCTGGGTGTGGCATGATGCTCAGGCATCAGGACAGATGGTGGCATAGGGCCTTCTCAGTAGAGAGAAAGAAGGAAGGGCGATGGTGAGTTTGGTTTGGAGTCCGAGATGCTCTGGGATATAAACTGGCAGGTGGCTGCGCAGATCAGATGGCACCAAGAGTCTTGACTCTGAACACAACATCAACCTGAGAGTCAGGGGAGCTGGAGGCAGGATGCAGGCAGAGAGGCATGGGAAAGGTGGCTACCCCTCTTCACAGGTTAAAACTCTGCAGCAGCCGGGCGCGGTGGCCCATGCATGTAATCCTAGCACTCTGGGAGGCCGACACGGGCGGATTGCTCAAGGTCAGGAGTTCGAAACCAGCCTGAGCAAGAGCGAGACCGTTTCTACTATAAATAGAAAGAAATTGGCCAACTAATATATAGAGAAAAAAATTAGCCGGGCGTGGTGGCGCATGCTTGTAGTCCCAGCTACTGGGGAGGCTGAGGCAGAAGGATTGCTTGAGCCCAGGAGTTTGAGGTTGCTGTGGGCTAGGCTGACGCCACTGCACTCACTCTAGCCTGGGCAACAAAGCGAGACTCTGTCTCAAAAAAAAAAAAAAAAAAAAAACCACCAAAATTCTGCAGCAGAGTCATCTGCAAACCACAGAGGCTCAGTTCTTAACCATGACAGCCGAGAAAGCAGAGCTCTATGTCAGCCAGATTAAAACTACCTACCCTGTCACATCACCTTTCACAGGTCGGTTCGGTCAGCAGAACAGCAGAGGGCCTGCGGGCGCAGCACAGGGATGTGCCTGCCCGTTGCCGAGGGAGATGTCACAAGGATAGCTCCTGCAGAGGGCGCTTGGGCTGAAACCTATTCATTGTGGGTGAATTTTTTTTCACAGTGCTAAATCTCTTGTCCTTCATAGTTTCTTTTTCCATGTTCTTTCTATGATTGTTTCTGATTACAAACTAATTCACATTTTTCATTAAACCATCAAACATAAAAAAAATAACATAAAATGGAAGTCTCCTGTAGTCTCACTCATCAGAGTTAACAGTTGGTTTATAATTTTTAGGATTGGTCCCCCAATACATACTAATACGCACACACAATGCATACTAACACAATGCACACTAACACACATTGCATACTAACACACATTGCATACTAACACAAACACACATTGCACACTAACACAATGTACACGAACATGATGCTTATTAACATACAATACATACTAACACACTGCATACTAACACAATGCACACTAACACGCACTGCATACTAACATACACACTGCATACTAACACATTGCATACTAACACAAACACACATTGCATACTAACATAATGCACACGAACACACACTGCATACTAACACACACACAGCACTCACACACACATGAATGCACAATTTTCCCCACAAATGGGGCTTCTGTCCAAGATAGAGTAACAAGGACCAGATTCCCTTCATCCTAAAATAACAACAACAACAAAAAAAGGACAAAATATATAAAACAATGGTTTCGAAGATACTGGACATCGGGCAAGGGAGGGCAATAATCCCTGACAGCCAGAAAAAAAAAGAGGTGGGGCTGCCAGCTGACCCAGCTTACTGCACAGAAAATTTCCAGGCTGCAACACAGGGAAGGGAAGCTGAGGCACAGCCTGGCAGACTCCCCAAGTTGAAGAGATGCAGCAGAAAGACCAAGGCAGCCAGAGTTCATGGGACAGAGCCTTGGAGAGGACTGAGCTGCACAGGGAGAGGCCCGGAGACTGACAAGGGGAACCAGTCTCCAGTACTGAGATACTGATCGGTGACCATGTGCATGAGGAAACTACACAACACTGGGAAAACATGCAGAGGACTTGAAAACAGTGCCTAGAGTCGACACAGGGCTGGGAATAGTGCCTTTTTGCCTTTTTGTACCAGACAGACTGAAAAAATTTCTAACTCATGGAGCACTGGGCAGAACACTCGGAAGGGTCTTATGGAGAACGTCTTTCTAGACTGAGCACAAGTTATAAAAGCAAGATCCAAAAGGGTCGGATTCCTTGGTGGTGGTGGCAAGACAGACACAGATGGACAGAACAGAAATCAGAAATGAACCCCACACACACATCTGGACAACTGAATTTTGACAGAGGCACAAAATCCTTCCTTCCACTGGAGGAAGATCACTTTCAACAAATGGTATTGGAATTGGGCATACATTTGCCAAAAGAAAAAAAAAAACTTGCATTAATACTTTGCATCATATATAAAAATTACCTCTAAATAGATCAGAGCAAAAAATGTAAAACCTAAAACCTAAACTTACAGAATAAAACACAGAAAAAAAAACCAAAACCTTTGTGGTCTTGGAATAGGCAAAGGTATCTTATATACAACACCAAAACCACAATCGATAAAAGGAAAAAATTTATACATTGGGCTTCATCAAATTAAAAAACTTCTGCTCTTCAACAAATGCTGCTGGGCCCTCGGATGTCCACATCAAGGGCAGTGAGCCCCTTTCCTACATCATTCATAAAAACTAACTCAAATGGACCAAAGACCTAAATGAAAAACTTGAGCAATAAAACTCTTAGAAGAAAACATAGTCAGTCTTTGTGGCTTTGGGTTGGGTTTCTTAGCAGTGGCACCAGAAGCACAAGCAACAAGAACAAACAGATGACCTGGACTACATAAAAACAACAAACTTTTGTGTTTCAAATGATCCCGTCAAGAAGTGACAAGACAACATACAGAGTGGGAGGAAATATTTGCACAGCATATATCTGATGCAAAGGACTTGTATCAAGAATATATAAAGAACTCTCAAAACACAATAATAAAAAAATAACCCAGATTTTAAAAAAGGGCAAAATATTTAAACAGATACTTTACCAAAGAAAAGATACAATCAGCACATAAGCACATGAAAAGATCGACAACATCAAATGAAAACTGCAACGTGACAGAACTACACATTTCCAAAGAGGCGTAAAATTAAAAAGATTCATTTTTCCACAAGAGTTCACATGCTAGAACTCTTGTGCCCTGTGGTGGAAATGTGAAATAGTACAACCACTTTGGAAAACAGTTCAGCAGCTTCTCAAAAAAGTTAAATATACATGTACCACATGATCCTGACTTTCCACTCCTAGGTATTTACTCACAAGCAGGGAAATATATGTCTGTACAAAGACCTGCAGACAAATGTTCATAAGCAGCTTCAGTTGTAATAGCCCAGAACTGGAAACAACCCAAATGTTCGTCGACAGGAGAATGGGCAAATTGCGGCATACCGACAGCGTGGAATACAGTGGAATAATACACAGCAATACAAACAAATGAACCATTGATACAAGCAACAACATGGGTGAATCTCAAAATAACAATGCCAAGTCAGACCAAGGAAATTCGGATCAAGAACAAGAGCATGTACTGTATAATTCCATGTACATATAATTCGAGAACATGCAAACTCGACCACAGTGACATAAAGCACACCAGTGATTGCCTGAGGATGGAGACTGGGGAGCGGGTCGGGGAAGGAGGGATTATCAAGAGGTGTGAGGAAACTTTTGGAGATAATGGGTATGTTCATTATCTTCACCATGGTGACAGTTTCCTGGGTACGCACATGTGTCAAAATGCATCAAACTGTTCACTTTAAATATGTGCAGTTAATTGTAAGTCAATTATACCTCCAAAAAAGCTATGAAAGAAACAAGACCGTACTCTAGTTCCGAAAGTGGGTGTTGTCACCTTACAGTGTGTCATAGGACATCTTTCCACGGCGGTGCTTTGAAGAGCTGCACAGTGTCTACCATACTGACAGATCTTGACATGGTCAGCCTTGTGTGCCTGGGCATGTAAGGGGTTGTCCTTCATCCTTCTTCCCAAGTAAAACTTTGCACACTTATGGAAGAATTTCTAAAGGACAGATCCCTAAAAATGGAATGGTTCAAAATTTGATCAACAATGCCAAGCTGTCCTCCAGTAGAGCTATCCCAACTTTATACTCCTAAAATGAAAGTCTTTTTCCCTGTACCCTTATAATACAGGCTGTTATTATTTTTTTGATCTTTGTGTACCTCATAGATAAAAACTGTTATCTCAATTTGTATTTCTCTATTAGCAAGGTTAAAACACTTCCATAAAGTGTAACCTTGTATATTTCTATGAATTGCCATCTTGTAAGTGTGGTCCATTTTTCCATCACTCATTTAGTCTTTTTCTTACTTATTCCTAGAAGCTGGTTACATAATTATGACCCCTTTAACTGTTATACATGTGAGAAATATTAATATTATTCCTTATGTCATCATCTATCAACTTCATTTTTAGCTTCAAGTAGAGCAATTTTTTGTAAACTTTCTATGTAGTCAAATCTGTCAATATTTTCCTTATCTCTTGGTGGTCCTCAAGTTACCGGCCAACGACAAGTAGTAGCTCAATGCAGCTGCCTCTCACCCAGGGAGGCCAGGTTCCTGTAGTCCTCCAGCACCACGCCCCCGTGCGGGCCCTTCTGAGCAGGCTCCAGCTGCTGCCAGTCCTCCTGCATGAAGTCCACAGCCACGTCCCTGAACGTCCCTGGTGCCTGCAAGAGGAAACCCACATCTGTTCACCGCAGGGCCCTCCTCAAAGAGGCCCAGAGAAACGGCCAGAAACACTGAGAGGATTTAGGGAAGGCTGACAGGACATATCCGAAGTGATTTCAGCAAGGTGCAGGGTTCTGAAGCGACCAGTTTTCTTGGTGTCTCGTTATGTTGGGGTGGTGCTCTGACAGACAAATGAAGTCACAGGCCCGAGAACCAGGTGGGAAAAAAGCAAAGGCAAAACGGTCATAACTGGCGAATCAATGCATGCATCAGGAGCACAGCAAAGGCAGAACCTCCGTGGAATCCAGGACATCTGATTTTCCGGGCCCCTACTAAGCACCACGTGTTGAGCTGGGTGCTGGGATGCAGACACAGAAGCTTCAAAAACTAGCTCCTCATGGGAGAGGCAGACGAAAGCAAGTATGTAATTTGGGAAATGCAATCATGAAGGTTTGAGTGAAGTTTTCAAGGCACTTGAGTAATGCCAGCTTTAGGGGGTGTCTGGGAAGATTCTGGAAAAGTAACAATGAGGACTGGGTTTGGGGAGAATTAACCGTTGGGCCCCCTGGGGGAGATTCTGGATAGAGGAGGCAGCTGGGATCAGGACCCGAGGCTGAAAGGCAGAGTAGACAGACTGCTGGGGACAGAGAGGAGACCGTGTGGAAGGAGCGCTGCCTTCCAGGAAAGGCCACGACCTGTGCCCTGGTGGACACGCAGGGCAGGGGACATGGTGATGGCGAGGCCACGTGCCATGCAGCCGCTACGTGCCAGGCACTACTCTAAGTGGTTGTCATGGGCTGAATTCTGTCCCCCATACACACAAAAAATAATTCATATGTTGAAGTCCCAACCTGCAGGATGTCAAGAATGTGACCTTGTTTGGAAACAGGGTCACTGCAGATGTGATTAGTTAAGGTCATCCTGGAGTACGGGTCCCTAGGGTACCCTAATTCAATATGACTGGGGTCCTTCCTTACACAAAGAGGAACTTTGGACAGAGACACACAGGGAGAGGGCCCTGTGAAGACTGGAGTTATGCTGCCACAAACCAAGCAACTGCCAGCAGGTGGGACAGGCCTGGAACAGAGCCTTCCTCGGCACCCTCAGAGGGAGCCTGGCCTTGCAGACACCTTGAGTGGGGACTAGCAGCCTCCCGAATTGTGAAAGAATAAATTTCCATTGTTTAAGCCACTTAGACTGTGGTACTTACTTACAGCAGCCCTGGGAAACTAACACGCTGCTTCACATATGTTGATTCATTTATTAATTCAAAACAGACCTACCAGGCAGGCAGTAACATTATTATAATAATAACACACTCGCGTATAAGCTGCTGTCTTTCATCCCCAAAGCCCCCTTCTGTGCTCCGTCCTGTGGCCCCAGGGCTTCGACTCTGCAATCTGTTTTTCTGTGTTGTTCTCTGCAATCTGTGTTTCTGCCTTAGCAGCTGGCTCTTCCTTAGGCTCTGCCAGTCGTGGGCACTGCAGGGAGGTTGAAGGTGGAGAAAAGGAAACCAAGGCACAGAGAAGGTAGGTCCCTGAACCAGGACACACAGATAATGAGTGGAACAACCAAGCTTTGAATCCAAAGGGCCACATCCTAACCCCTGCAGGCTACTGACTCCCATGAACCAGCTAGAGAAGTGAGTGTTGAAAACTTGTGATGTCCAGACATGAAGTCCGATTCTGACCTCTGAACCCCCACCGTGTCCCTACAACTGCTTCGTTCCTTCTGTCGTCTGCTCCAGCCCCACTGGCCTTCCCTCTGCTCCTTGAATATATGGTCTGCCTTTGCATTTGCTGTTACCCTGCCCAGAATGTTCTTCCTTCAGGTCTTGGCTAAGCTGGCTCCTTTCTTAGTCATTCTTTGGAAGGTTTGAGGAGGAGAGTGACAGGATCTAATTTATAATTTTAAAAGTGCACTCTGTCTTCAGTTCTAGATCACTATCAAAAAAACAAAACAAAACTAAAAAAAAAGTGCACTCTGTATCTGCACACCCATGTTCAATGCAGCATTATTTACAATAAACAAAAGGTGGAAGTGACCCAAGTGTCCATCAACTGATGAACAGAAAAACAAAACATGGTATATTCATACAATAGAATATTATTCAGACTTAAAAAGGAAGGCAGGCTGTGTGCAGTGGCTCACACCTGTAATCCTAGCACTCTGGGAGGGCGAGTGGCAGGATCACTTGAGCTCAGGCGTCTGAAACCAGCCTGAGCAAGAGTGAGACCTCGTCTCTACTAAAAATAGAAAAATTAACTGGGCACAGTGGCGCAAGCCTGTAGTCCCAGCCACTCGCCGGGACTGAGCGGGAGGCTGAGGCAGGAGGATCACTTGAGCCCAGGAGTTCAAGGTTGCTGTGAGTTATGATGACACCACTGTACTCTAGCTGAAGTGACAGAACGAGACTCTGTCTCCAAAAAAAATAAAATATGAATTGAAATAAATTTAAAAAATAAAAAAAAGGAAAAGGAAATTCAAACATGTATGAACTTTGAGGACATTATGCTCATTGCAATAAGCAAGTCACAAAAAGACAACTCCTGTATGATTCATGTAAAGTAGCCAAGTACATAGAGACAAAGTAGAATGGGGGTTGCCAGGGGTTGGGGAGGAAGAAATAGGGAGGAGTTGTTTAATGGGTGCAGAGTTTACGTTTTACAAGGTGAGAAAGTTCTGGAGATGGATGGTGGGGAAGGTTGCATAACAACGTGAATGTTCTTAATGCTACTTGTCAAAAGACAAAATTCCAACAAATTTAGTTTAAAGATCTAATTGGCTTTCATTTGCAATCCTAGAATCAGGCAATACTTCATTCCATAAAACAGAGCATGTGTTCTGAGGAGATGAGCAGAGGAGTTTGGCTTTCTTGGTAGGAAAAGGGCTGAAGAAAGCAGAAACAGAGAACAAAAAGCAGACTGGTTGCTTCAAAGTTACTTTCCTATAGGGTTAAAGCAGAGGGCACTTCCTTATTACACTAACTCTGGCTGTCTGGATCTTACTGTTTTTTAGAAAACTGGCCAAAACTTTGATGATGTGGCACTTAGCAAGAGAGACTCCATTCTGGTCTGGTCTGCTGGGGCCTAGGTCAGAGGGTTAGTCCAAAACCGCCACCTCTTATACACTCTAATACACTGCATGCTCAAAAATGGTTGAGATGAAAAATTTTATGGTGTGTAGTTTACCACAATTTAAAAATAAACAAATAGGCCGGGTGTGGTGGCTCACGCCTATAATCCTAGCACTTTGGGAGGCCGAGGCGGGCAGATTGCTCAAGGTCAGGAGTTCAAAACCAGCCTGAGCGAGACCCCGTCTCTACCAAAAATAGAAATAAATTAATTGACCAACTAAAAATATATATACAAAAAATTAGCCGGGCATGGTGGCGCATGCCTGTAGTCCCAGCTACTCGGGAGGCTGAGGCAGTAGGATCGCTGAGCCCCGGAGATTGAGGTTGCTGTGAGCCAGGCTGATGCCATGGCACTCACTCTAGCCTGGGCAACAAAGTGAGACTCTGTCTCAAAAAAACAAAAAATAAATAAATAAATAACATTCCTGTTGGGAGCACGGACTGGCTCTAACCTACAGAGTGTCATTCAGCAAAATCTATCAAAACTAAAATTCAAATACCTTTTGAACAATTTATATACTAATTCAGACATGTTAACATACATATGGAAACATATGTATGAGGATATTTGTTATGGCATGAATGAAGAAGCAAAAAGACTGAACACATCCCAAATGTCCACTGTTGGGGGTGGATAATTAGGTGGGTGCCTCCACCACAGACCACCATAGCACAAGGCGGGCAGCTTGTTAGCTGCTGCTGTGGGTGATGTCTTGAAGACAGTTATATATATATACATATATATATCCCAAGAAAAGTGTGTCTGGTCTGCTAAAATTTCCACAAAGGGAAATAATTAAGGATATTTATACATATGGGCCTATATAGGCACAGGCTCTTTCTGGAAACGTATGAAAGAAACTGGGACAAAGTACACTGCTGTTATGTAAGCCACCTGGTCTGTGGCACTTTGTTACGGCAGCCTGAGCAGATGCATACATTGTCTTGCTCACTCCTGAATCCCCAGTGTTTAGAAAGATGCCCTGCATGTAGCAGAGGCTCAGCATACACCGTTGGACTGAATACAAAGACCAATTAGTGGGCTGGTGTAAGGATTAACTGAGCCAATCCATGTAAGACACTCAGAACACCAGTGCAAAGCATACAGCAGGCGCTTAATAACCGCCAGCCTTTGTTACTGACACCTGCAGGTCCCTGGCTCTCTCCAGCACGCTGAGCATCCCCCACTAAGCCACAGTTCGCCCTCCCTGGGGAGGGCCTCCCACTGCTGGCCAGTCCCTTCAGGGTCCCCAGATGACCTTCTGGGGCCTGGCTCGGACCAGCCTCCCTGCCCAGCGGCCCACCTCTGGTGCCATTCCCAACTGTGTTTCTTTGACAACTACCTTCCCCTTTCTGAGCCTCATCGGTGAAATGGGCTTCATGATAACCTGTCCCCTCCACAGCTGTCATGGAGGTTAAATGGGGTGGTGCATATATGCTGCCAGCATAGTGCCTGGCGTGGGTGGAGAAAGTGCTCAGTAAGTGCCAACTGTTGCTATTATTATTTCATTAACTTTGATATTTAATATATATCTGATATAAAATTATTACTACTTATAATTATTATATGATATTTTTTGACTATTTGGCCCAATACATCCTTCAGCCAGCCCAGCTAATTATTCCTTCTTTTAAAAATATAAACCACTTAAGGAATGATTGACATACAAAAAACTGCACATATTTAATGTACACAACTCAATGAGTTTGGGAATGAGTGAAATTACTACCACAATCAAGACCATAAGCTTACCAATTACCTCCAAGAGTCCCCTCCCACCTCTTTTATTTATTTATTTTACAAAAACTTAATACAGCAATTCCTTCTGAAAGTCTTCCCTAAGTACACCCCATCTAATTTGCTCACTCAATGAAATACCCCCTGCGCAGGCTCCATGCACCAGAACCAGGCTGGTACCCCGGACACGCTGAGAAACAGAACAGGCCTTGAAGGCCAGGAGGCCAGCATCTTGGGGACAGACATGCCACGGCAAAGGACTCCTCTGAGCTCTTTGAGTGTACATGTCTGAGGCCACTTGTTCTAGTGCTTCATCGTTTTTGGTTTCCTATCTAACGACATGAACTGTTTCACCACAAGAAAAAGCTCTCAAGAGCTGAAATCAGATAGGATCTATTTTTTTAAAAAAATCAAAATGTATGGCCGGGCGCGGTGGCTCACGCCTGTAATCCTAGCACTCTGGGAGGCCGAGGCGGGCGGATTGCTCGAGGTTGGGAGTTCGAAACCATCCTGAGCGAGACCCCGTCTCTACTAAAAATAGAAAGAAATTAATTGACCAACTAAAAATATATATACAAAAAATTAGCCGGGCATGGTGGCACATGCCTGTAGTCCCAGCTACTTGGGAGGCTGAGGCAGGAGGATCGCTTAAGCCCAGGAGTTTGAGGTTGCTGTGAGCTAGGCTGATACCACGGCACTCACTCTAGCCTGGGCAACAAAAGTGAGACTCTGTCTCAAAAAAAAAAAAAAAAAAAAAATCAAAATGTAATTACACTAGAAGTGATTTTAGAAAACCAAACTTACACCAAAAATCCCAACAACAAATCCTTCTAAATAATGCAGGTAAAAAAATAACTCAATACAAGAATCACAGATGGATTCAAAATGAAAACAGCATAGTGATCCCCTTTGGAAAAGCCTGGTGGCTCCTCAGACGGCTAAACAGAGTGAACTGCATGACCCAACAATTCCACTTCTCGGCACACACCCAAGAGAACTGAGAACACGTGTTCAAAGAAAGACTTGCGCACGATTGTTCGCAGAAGTGTTACTCATAATAGCGAAAAAGTGGAAACAACCCAAATGTCCATCAGCTGATGAGTGGTTACATACAATGTGGTGTAGCCATACAATGGGATATTATTCCACCATGAAAGGAAATGAAGTTCAATACACGGTAACACATGGATGAACCTCACGAACATTATGTAGCTGCGTGAAAGAAGCCAGTGGAGGAGAACCACACAGTGCATGATTCTACCAATATGAAATGTCCAGAACACTCAAATCCACGGAGGCAGATTAGTGGTTGCCAGCGGCTGGGGAATGAGGATGGGGAAAACGTGAGTGCTAATGGGTACACAGTTCCTTTTGCAGTGATGAAAATGATCTGACATCAACTGTAGTGATGGTTACACAACTTTGTGAATATGCCAAAAGCCAATGAATTATCCACTCTGTACATACATGAATGTACCTCAACAAAGGTATTACATAAATGAAGACATAACAAACCAAAACTCCCAAATAAGTCAACTGATGTGTTTATATAACAAAATAAATTCCAGGGGGATTAAAAAGTTCAGTGTTAACATTCAAATGATGAATGGTAACGAGGAAGGACCCGCAGCTGGTCTCTGGCCTGTGGACAGAGAAACCCTTTCACAGTTTAAAGACTAAGGAGGATACCACAGTGGAAGAGACCAACAGATTTGATTTTAAAAATACGAAATGCTTTTGTACTAAAAAACTAAGTAAATTAAATAAAGAAGTAAACAAAAAGTACACTTGGGAAGAATATTTGCCACAGATGTTTATACATACACATTTACTTTTGTAAAATCTTTAAGAATACTAAGATTCCTATAGATGGGTAAAGTGCAAGATGGATCATTTACCTGCCTACAAAATGCCTAATAAACATTCTCTAAGAATTGAAGCTCACCAACAGTACAAACAATGTTACTCAGAAACAGATCTCATGACACCATTCATCACCTGTTATGCTCAAGGTTTATACCATTTGTCATTTATATCCCTTTATCTATATATCCATTTATCATTTATATCCAGTGCACCAAATAAACACCTGACGATGGCCAGCGTAGACCAGTGGAGGCCCTTTCCAAGATGCTGGCAGGAATACATATCGCCGCAACCGATTTGGAAAATAATACAAAGACTTATAAAACTCCTCAAAAATATCCAAACCAATATTCTTCTTCAAGGAATTGGTCCTAAATGAATCATATAAAATACCAGGAAACACTTATGCCCAACCTTGTCTCCTGTGATACTGTTTATAAACATGAATACCAAAAATGTCCAAAAACAAAAGAACCATTAAGTAAACCAGGGTATGGCCACTAGATAAAACTTTCATGCAGTCATTAAAACCGATGCTACAGAGGAGTTTTTTTTTTTTTTTTTTTTTTTGAGACAGAGTGTCGCTTTGTTGTCCAGGCTAGAGTGAGTGCCGTGGCGTCAGCCTAGCTCACAGCAACCTCAAACTCCTGGGCTCGAGTGATCCTTCTGCCTCAGCCTCCCGAGTAGCTGGGACTACAGGCATGCGCCACCATGCCCGGCTAATTTTTTTATATATATATCAGTTGGCCAATTAATTTCTTTCTATTTATAGTAGAGACGGAGTCTCGCTCTTGCTCAGGCTGGTTTTGAACTCCTGACCTTGAGCAATCTGCCCGCCTCGGCCTCCCAAGAGCTAGGATTACAGGCGTGAGCCACAGCGCCCGGCCTACAGAGGAGTTTTTAATGGTGTAGAGAAATGCTCACGATGAAATCTTTAATGAAAAAGCAGGATATAAAAATTACTTAGCCATAGCGATTCTTATTTTCACAAAACAGTATGCATATCCAAGAAGGAAAAGACACTCAAAACTTCCAGAGTGGTTATCTTTTCAGGAAAGATCATGGCTTAATTTGATTCTCTTAGCTATATTTTTCTGGATTTTCTAAGATTTTTATGATGATCATGTATTTCATTAAGTATCAGAAATTTTCTTTTACTTTTATGACATATTATTTATAGTCCCAAAACTACATTTTTAAAAAAAGGTCAAATTCACCAATACTGGATAGACATTTAGGTACACTGGTTATGCAGTCAAAACAAGTGATGTTTGTAAAGCTTTCAAATGCAATGGGAAATCCCTGTTGCATGAGGTTACATGGGAAAAAAACCCTCAAGATTAAAATGGCAAAGCCAATACTTAGTCAATTTTTTGAAATAATCACCAGAGAAGATAATAAATGAATACACAAACATCTACACGGTTATCTCTGGGAAGAGGGCCTATTGGTGAATTATATTGTCTTACCTAGAGTTTGCTAGATTTTGCCAGCTTTCTATTACTATAATGACCATATATGTGTATATTTTACTATGAAATAGTTCTGGCTTAAAAGAAAGTTTAGAGAAAAAAACCACAGATGGCCACATACGCACCACCTAGCTAAAGATGTGAAACATCATGGCTAGGACAGAAGAAGCCCATGCGCCCCCACTCCAGAGGGTCTCCCTCCTCCTCTCTGGAGGCAGCCGCTGTCTCGAATGTGGTGGGCTGTGTCCCCATGTTTCTGTACTTTCACCGCATGTGAGCGTTCAGGAGGGACACTTAGTGCTGTTCGCCTATTTCCAAAGGCCACTCGTCCAGCACCGTCCTGCCGAGTCCTTTTCACTCTGTCGTGTTTAAGCCATCACTTCACAGGTGCCCACCAATGGCTCCCAGGACCCCGAGGGCAGGCCGCCCCCCGCTGCTCTGTCCCCCGCAGCCGGCATCAGAGAAAGGCGAGGGCTGTCAGCCCACAGGCACAGCACAGAGGAGCAGCAGGAGCATGGGCACGGCCTCCCCATCAGGGGACACAGCTCAGGACACGGGCGGGCCCGAAGGGGTCGGAGGACGGCAGAGGCTCACCGGGAGGCAGGAGCCTGGCCCCCTGGGCACGAGCCTTCAGGAAGGACTGCGCGTGGGCGGCACGACTCACCAGGGCCTGGTCAGTCAGCAGCTGAGTGGCCATCCCACCGGGACGACGGGCCTGGAGGGCCAACAGGGCTGTTGGGGGAGAGAAGGAGGCACAGTGAGACGCCAGGCGGAGGCCCACCTCACAGATGCAGATGGGCAGGCACACACACACGCAAGTCAATGGCAAACATTACGGGGCTTACTGCGTGCAAGGCATTCGACAAATGTCTCTGACTTGATCCTCCAACCTCCCAGGAAGGAGCGCTACTTCCACCCACCCCCATTCACACATGAGGGACTGAGGCCCAAAGAGATAAGCCACTCGCCCAAGATGACAAAGGTGGGACTGGGCTTGGCAGAGTATTTCTGGCTCCACGTGCTGACTACTAGGCTACACTGCCTCTCAGATGCACACCCACACACACTCACACACCCCAAGCTGCCAGGGGCCACGCGATCCCCTGCCTCTCCCAGCAGCCAGCCCCACCCAGACACTCTCCTTGGGTAGAAGTGCTGGACTGAGGCTTCCCAGGTGCCCCAGCACCTTCCCCCGGCCCTTCCAGGCGCTCCCCCAGACCTCATGGGGTTACTGTGAGGCACAACTAACAGATCCAGGTGAGGACCCTGGAGCTGGCCTGGCGCACAGCAAGAGCTATGCTGCTGCCATTACCGCTGGTGTCCGCTGAGCATGTTCCAAAGAGCAGGACACCCCAGGCTCGGGCTCCCAGAGGTAGGATCCCCCAGGGGAATGCATTCGGTTTCGATTCTCAATGGCCACTGGCGTGTACCCCCTTCCCCCCTACTCTACTCTGGACTCCAGCTTAGGCCAACCATAGTATCTTGTTAGAACTACCTGGCTTTACTTTCATTTGTTCTAATATTTCTCTTTTTACAACAATACTCAGCTTTTATCTACAGCAGTCACGTGGAGTTCCCTTTTAAACTAAGTTGATTTAAAGTTTTAAAAAAATCAGTGAGCCAATTCAAATAAAAAACAAAGTATAAAATAGGAGAGGTGGCACAGGTTAAAGCAAATTCTTAAAGTTTGGGGCATGTTGGATCAGTCCTGGCTCCACAGGGACCTGCCTAGATTTGCATGCCTCCCAAAACAGGGAGCTCACTACCTGAGCCACCAACACTTCTGACTGGAAACAAATTTTCCTTCTGCTATAAACTGAAACATGCCTCCCTAAATCTCCAACACCTTGGGGTCACCCAGAAAAACCCCAGTCATCTCCTATACAACCACCTTTTAGCTACAGCACCAATTCTCAAAGTGCCAGAATCACTGAGGATGCGTATTAAAATGTTATTACTCGGAATATAGATTCCTGGGTCCCCACTCAGACCCTCTGAATCAAACCACCTGGGGGGGGGCAGGAATCAGTATTTCCAAACAAGTTTCCCAGGTGATTCTCACACATCCTAAATGCAAGAATAACTAAGACAAAGGGTGTTTCTGAGGCTAAATGGCCCCAACTTCCACAAGTAAAATGCCAAATGATTTTAATTGTAGGGGGACACATATAAGGCCAAGCTGGAGCCTTTAGAGCAACGGTCCTCAACCAGGGGCAATTTTGCCTCCCAGGAGACATTTGTGGTTGTCACAATTTGAGGGAGGCAGAGAAACTATGGGCATTTAGTGGGCAGAGACCTGGGGTGCTGCTAAATACCCTACAATGCACAGAACAGACCCCACAAAGAATGATCAGGCCCCAGTGTCAGTAGTGGCAAGGTTGAGAAACGAACGGATCTCAGTGTCAGCTTGTGGCTCTAAGACATAATGTCTGTGGACTAAGATGCTGTACCTGGCCCTCCATTTTACTGGTGCTCAGTAAAAACATCCTCTGGCTTAAAACTCTCCAGCAGCTTCCCCTAGCACCAGAAATCTCTCAGTCTTCCCCTCTGCCCACACAGCGCTGTGGTCTGCCCTCGGTGGCCCCACTCCCACACTTGGCCCCAGCCCTGGCCTTTGCAGCTGCTGTGCAAGGACTGCTCTTCCCATAGCGGGCTCTGCCTCATGATCTGATCGAATGTCGCCTCCTCGGAGAAGTCTCCCACTCCCAAGCCTCCGAGTTCAAGCTGCAAGCCTCTCCCCTCTATCTCCTTACAGCACACATCACTATCTACAGTTGTCTTTGTAAAAACACTTGTTTCCAAGTTTGTCACCTGCTTCCCCTCCACCAGAACATAAGCCCTCAGGGAGCAGGGACTATCATTTTTGGATTGTATCTCCAGCATCCAGGACAATGTGTGGCACACAGGAGGTGCCCAGACATCAAGATGAGTGAACAGATGAGCTAATTTTTAGCACCAACCAGGACGCAAGAGAACCAGCCCGGTGAAAGAATGTGAGTCGCTCAATCTTTTTCTAGAAAATCAGCTGGCAATATACAAACCCCATTACCCAGCAACCCTGTTTCTGGGAATCTGCTCACAGCAATAAAAGCTCCATGTAAAAAGGTTACACATAGGAAAAAAGATGTTTGGCTGGGCACATTGGCTCATGCCTGTAATCCCAGCACTTTGGGAGGCCAAGGTGGGAGGATTGCTTGAGCAAGACCCTGTCACTATAAAAAATTTTTAAAAATTAGCTGTGCATGGTGGCAAGAGCCTCTAGTCCCAGCTATTTGGGAGGCTGAAGTGGAATTGCTTGAGCCCAGGAATTTGAGGTTGCAGTGAGTGATGACTGCACCATAGTACCCCAGCCTGGGCAAAAAAAAAAAAAAAAAAAAAAAAAAAAGGAAGGAAAGAAAAGAAAAAAATATGTTTATAGCAGCACTGTTTCTAGAGGCAAAAAAACAAACAAAAAACCCCAAAGAAACAAAAAACCCAAACCAACCAACCAACAAACAAAAACACTCTGGAAACAAAATTAATAAACATTACTAAAGGAATGGGTCAAATAAACGGTGGGGTCTCCACACTGCAAAATATGAGGTCCCCTCTTGAAAGGAGAGAGTTCTGCATCTATTAACTTATCTGTGGTATCATTAAGAGAGAAAAACAAGTTACACGGTTGTATGAATCACTTCAGCCCTTTGTGGAAAAACAAACCAATGCACGTGGGTGTGTATGTGTCTTTCCAGCCGAGGGAAAGCTGTGGAATGAGGCCACGCTGGCGCCTCAAGTGCACAGAGTGGGAATGAGAATGATGGTGGAAGTTATTAATTTTTCTTTCCATTCCTTTGAATTGTTTTCCTGGGTATAGCAACCTCATGTTACTGTCATTTTTTAAACATAATTTTTAAAAATATATTTTTCCTTTGGGTCAGTGGTCTCAGCCCTGCACTTAATCTCTTTTAAAATCATAAGGAAAACAGATTAATCTAATACAGCCTGGATTATATCTGTGTTTATATCAATGAAATCACACAGTATACTTCTAGGGTTTTTTGTTTTTGTTTTTTTTTTTGAGACAGGGTCTCCCTCTGTCACCCAGGCTGGAGTGCAGTGGCATCATCATAGCTCACTGCAGCCTCCAACTCCTGGGCTCAAACAATCCTCCCACCTCAGCCTCCCCCAAAGTGCTAGGATTACAGATGTGAGCCACCATCCCTGGCCAGGTGTGGGGTGGGTATAGTGGATCAAGGGCCCCATGAAGGCAAAGTGCCCCTGAAAATCATAAAGTGGCCTTGGAAATGACTTGCCCAGGAACAAGGCTGGTGACTGTTGAACCCATTCTGGCCTTAGATCTGTGTAGCTGCAAAACCAGTGGCTTTCTCATTCCTCTTCCTACCCTGGGCTTTCTGGCATTTCCTTCCTTTCTTCCATTTCCACTCTTTCTAAGGGGGAGATTCCCTTGGGGGAAAATCCTACAAACTTGTCTCAGCTGAACAGAAAAGGAAAAAAGGATATCCCATTTGTCTGGTGGTTAATTGTGGGGGCTCAAATCCAGATGCCTGGGTGTAGCCTTGGGAGATTCACTTAAGGACTCTGAGCCTCAGTTTCCTCATGTAGAAGATGAGGGTGACGGTGGTCCCTACCTCAGCGTATTGGGAGGCCTAGCAACCAGGCAGTTCTGGCAAAGTGCCCAGAACAGCACTGGCTCCAAACACATCCCCTGAACAAACCAATCCTGCTTCGTCAGGATGGAGTAGGGGATGGAGACCCTTAAAGGGTCTGACTCCCCTTTAAGAGGGCCCTGTGGGAGGCAGAGGAAGAAACAGCTCCCCTTGACCCCGCATCCTGGCACTCACACACTGCCTGTGCTCCCAGGACCCCACCCCTCCAGAGCCTTCTGTGGCCATGCAGTGCTCTAGGGAGCAGGACGGAGCTGAGGGGCTGGGCAGTGTTGGGCAGACTAGGAGAGGTGTGGGGCAAGGAGGCAGTGGCTCTGCTAGGCCACTTGTCCAGCTGCACGTGGTGTGTGGAAGGGGTGCACTCAGTCACACCCCCACACAGACCCACCCAAACGGTCACACCCAAACACCAAGAAACACTCAGAGACACGGCTGACACACAGAAAGGCCCAGAGGGGCAGGCCTCTGGAGAGCCCGACACCCAGGCTCAGGCCAGCGACCTGCACACAAAGACGACGCGCGGCGCGGCCAGAGGGCGCCCTCACGCAGACACGCGGGAGCAGAGATCGAGGCGGGCGGGCGCACACACGGCAGCAAAGGCAGACGCAGCGCTCACGCAGGGAAGTCCCCACAAAGACAGGCCGGCAGAGACACGGCCAGAGACCCAGAGAGATATACCCGCCCAGAGACACCAAGCCTTTCCGAAGGGGGTGTGTGTGAAGGACCCGCGCGCGCGCACACAGCAAAGACAAGGCCACAGGAGGCCGCCCAGACACACAGACCTACGCGACCGGACCAAGAGACAGCCGCAGCCGCGGGACGGCAGTCTCTGTCTGTCTCTCTCACACTCACACACGCGCTCGCCTTCTGCCCGGGGTCGGAGCCTCACGGCCAGACAGCTTTCCCAGTCCCCTCCTGCCCTTCCCCTGGGCCCGTAGGCCAGCACCCAGCCCGCACGTCCGCCGTGGCCGGCACTCCGTCTCCCCGAGCCCTGCTCCCCCGGCCCGCGCGCCCTCTCCCCCGGCCCGCGCGCCCTCTCCCCGGCCCGCGCGCCCTCTCCCCGGCCCGCGCGCCCTCTCCCCGGCCCGCGCGCCCTCTCCCCCGGCCCGCGCGCCCTCTCCCCGGCCCGCGCGCCCTCTCCCCAATCCGCCGCCTCCCCGGGGGACGGCCGGGTGCGCGGCGAGCGGAGGGTGCGCGGCGAGCGGAGGGTGGGCGGGACCCTGACCCCGCCCGGGAGCCGGACTCACCGGCGCGTCGCTCCGCGGTGACAATGACCGCGCCCGCTAGGCCCGCCCGGCCGCAGTGCGCCTGCGCGGAAGGCGCCGGACTACGCTTCCCAGAAGCCCGCGCGCGCCACCTCCCCTCCCGCCCTGGTAGCCGAGCCGAGTGGAGCCGTCGCGCCCGAGCGCTCCTCGGTCTCCCGGGGACCCCCCACCTAGGGAGGGGGGATGGTAAGGAGGGGTAAGTGGGCGGGGTAGGGAGAGGAAGGAGGGGTGGGAAGAAGGAGGGCTGGGGGGCGGGAGGGACGGGAGGAGGGTGGGAAAGGAACAGACGGGACGCGCGAGAGCGGGAGGAGGGCGGAGGAAGGAGAGGGAAGAGGACGGGGTGGAGGGGGGGGGAAGGGAGCGCAGGGCTGGGGTGGGCAGAGAGGAGGCCGGGAGCCGAGGAGGAGGAGGGGTGCAGAAGAGGAGGGGCGAGCCGGCGGAGGAGGAAGGCGAGGAAGAGCCCGCCCGTCTTCCCTCGGCATTCTGAGGGCCAGGCGGGCCGCTGGGCCGGGTGATGGCGCTGACCTGTACAACACGCGCGGGGACGAGAAGCAAACGAGCGTAGACACAGCGTGCAGGAGGCCACTGGTTGGGTGAGCTCCTGCAGTGGGCCCAGGCCGGGCCGAGCGGAGCTACTTCTGCGGAAGCGAGGGCTGTCGGGCGGTGGCTCATCTGACCTTCCGAACTCAGGGGACGGAGAAGCCACCCGCCAAACAGGCCAGCTGTAGCCCGCGTGAAGCAGAGATGCGTCTCTGTTTAACCTGTGCTAGGAAAGTAACCTTGAAACGACCAACGCATATTTGTTCCCCGTTCCTGCTTCCTTCAGCCCTCCTCTGCCTGTGAAGCCAAACCCCTCTGCTGAGCTCATCAGAACATTCGCTGTATATTAAGGAATGAGGGGCTGACCGAATCTAGAATCACAAACAAAAGCAAATTTGATCTCTGAACTAAATATGTTGTAATTTTGTCTTTTGATATAAAAAAGTTAGTCCTTATTATTAACAGTTTTCCTATGTGCCAGCTCCTGTTCTTGGTATTTTATGATTTATGAACTCAATTTTCACAGCTAAACTACTTTCCAGATGAGTTAAGTAGTGCAGACAGGAGGGTTCACACAAGGTAAGTGGTAGAACCAGGCCACCTAACTGGGCCCCTTTTCTGCTGTAAACCACAAAGCTGCGGTCAAAAACATTTGCTGAATGTCTGCATGACCACAAAACTGTAAACAGCAGCTAGCCTTATGTGGTGTTTAATGATTTTTTAAAATGAAATATTGTATTTTGAGATAAATGTGGATTTATTCACATGAAGTTGTAAAACATAATACAGAAATGATAGAGAGACCTGTGTATCCTTTACATCTGGTAATATCACCATAGGGTACTGACATTGATCTTGTCAGACACAGAACATTTCCATCACCACAAGGATCCCTCATGTTGCCCATTCGTAGCCATACTCACTCTCCTCCAGACTCTATCGCTAATCTGTCCTCCATATCTATAATTTTGTCATTCCAGGAATGCTATACGAATGGAATCATACAGCATGTGAGCTGTGGGATTGGCTTTTTTTAATTCAGCATAACTCTGGAGATATATTCAAGTTGTATGTATCAATAGTTTATTACTTTCATGTGTAGTGGTATTCCGTGGTGTTGATGTAGCACAGTTTGTGTGCCACGTCTGGGTTGGGGCTATTATAGCTTGTGTGTGTGTGGGGGGGGTAATAACTCTTAACAAAAGATCTACCCTCTAAACAAGTTTTTAATGTATAATACATCATTGTTAACTATAGATACAATGTGTACAGCAGATCTCTAGAACTTAATCATCTTACATAACAGAAACTTTATACCCTCTGAGCAACATCTTCTCATTCCCCTGCCCCCACTCCATCCCTGGAAACCACCATTCTATTTTCTGCTTCTAACAGTTGGACTATTTTAGATTTCACATGTAAGTGAAATCTTATTTTACTTAGCATAATCTACTCAAGGGTCATTCATGTTGTAGCAAACGGCAAGATTTCCTTTTCTTTTCCCCTAAGGCTAAAAAATATTCCTCTGTGTGTGGATCACATTTTTTTTATCCATTCATCTGTCAGTGGACATGTATATTGTTTCTACATCTTGGCTATTATGAATAATGCTGTAATGAACATGGAAGCACAAATATCTCCTTGAACCCTTACTTCAATTCTTTTGGATATTTACCCAGATGGGGATTGCAGGATCATATAGTAATTCTAGTTTTAATTTTTTTTTTTTTTTGA